TAGCTTAGGGCCGGCCCGGTGGCGCACTGCTACAGTGCGCTGCTTGGGAGCATGGCTGCGCTCCCGCCAAGGGTTTGGATCCCACATACAGACCGGCCGCTCACTGGCTGAGCGAGGTGCGGGTGCAACACCGAGGGTTGCGATCCCATTGCCGGTCCCGGTCCGGTACGGGCGCAACACTGAGGGTTGCGATCCGTTGCCGGTCACAAAAAAAGACAAAAAAAAAAAAAAAGGTCATTTATAAACGAAATGCATTAGTTTTTTTCCCTAGAAAGACAAGTAAAAACTAACACGATAAAATAGAAACTATGGATAAAACTAATTATCATTATCAAATGGCACGTATAAAGCAAAGCCTCAAGGATCCATCAACAACTGACCTGACGTTGGGATCTTCCAACAATAAATACCTGTGAGACAGACCTAAAAGGAAGCAGCCACAGAGAAGAGTTACGGAGTTTAGCTGTAACTAGGCCATTTCCGTGAAATTAGAGAAAAAACACTCTTGCAAAGTTTGACTAAAACCAACAGTGGATACAGATCTCCCAGCTGAGGTGCCCTCATGTGCAACAGTCTTCACTGAACACGTGCTGTGAGCACTGTGCTGGGAGAGGAGGCCAGGGAGGTGCGGCCAGCACCCGCCCTCAGTGGTGCACAGCCAGGCAGCGCAGGACGGGCACAGGCCACAGCTGCCAACACCAGAAGAAAGTGCTCTTTTCCAGAAGTTAATATGGTTTATATAGGATCAAATAAACTATTCTCTTCAAAACGACATAGAGAACTACATTTTTCTCAAAACTGGAAATGAGGCAGCGCTTGTTAGCATCTGAATCAGCTGCTCATCTTGGAGCTAAGAAATGAAGACAAACCACCACATCATGAAAAGATCTTGACTAAATATGCCTTCCTGATCTTTTCTGTGAAATACCAACTATAATGGGAAAAAAACGGTTGGAAAGAATGCTGACCCTGTGATCACTGTATGGGTGTCTTCAGGATTGTGACAATCAATCAGTCATGTCTGTACCTGTAAGTTTACGAGCTGTGCAGTTGATTTTCCTTGGAGGCACAAGGCTTGAGCAATAAATGCATGCAAATCCTCCAGGCAAAGAGTGTCCACCTGACAAGGACAGAAAGAGAAAGCCAGCATTAGGCTACAGGAAAAACAAACAAAAATCAACGTTTCTTGTTAACTGAGCTCAACTACTAAACACAGGTGCGCACAAACACAGGTGCATACTGGTGCAAACGTGTGCACACACAAACAGGCATACACACGTGTCTACACACAGGTGCACTCACTGGCACAGGCACACACATGCACAAGCACACACATGCACACAGGTACATACATACGTGCAGAGGCACATGCACAGGTGCACTCACAGGCATGTGCACACAAAGGCTCATGCACAAATAGGAATAAGTATGCAGGTACACACAAACACAGGCACAGGTGCACTCACAGGTACACACAGGTCCACTCACAGGCACATGCACACAGGCACACACAAGTGCACCCACAGGCATATGCACACACAGGCACGCACAGGCGCACTCACAGGCATATGTACACACAGGCATAGGCACGCACAGGCACACACAAGTGCCCTCACAGGCATGCACAGGCGCACTCACAGGCATATGCACACACAGGCATAGGCACACACATCCACACAGACACACGCACAAGTACACACACAGGCACATGTGTGCACACACACAGGTGCACTCACAGGCACATGCACACAGGTACAAATGCACACCCGTGTAGTCCATCAGACCTTGGGGCAACAGACGACATGCGGGTGGGGAAAGCACAGCCTCTCCTCTACTGCCCACAGCCCCTGGCTGTAAAGCTCTCTCCACAGTGTCCTCGGCTGTGCACACAACTCGCAGGCCACACTACACAAGGGAACCTGGACTTCTAGAAAGGTTACTCGCCAGCAAGGCAGAAAGCTCCAGAATGTCTGGAGGAATCATGAGGTGACATCTACGTCTGAGTTTTAGAGCAATACACATGACTGTTTCTGGCAGAAATTGCACAGAGCAGACCATTCTGGGGCTTCCGGACAGGGAGCATCCATAGCTAAGCCGAGAGCTGGGGCAAATAACCACCTTCAATGAGCCCAGAGGAAACCTGTGTCTTCAGATTCCAGGTTAGAGTAAGGCAAGACCCCCATCTGAGTCCTATCCAATCCTCTCCGGAATCAAGGTCCAACAAGAAAGTGTGAGAGAAACAAGGAGAGACAGAGAAGCCAGAAAAAGGAAGAAACAGAATGGGAGTAGCTGGGTGTCAAGTCAATTATGAAGCTGAAGAGGACCGAAGAGCAAAAAGGACGGGCAGTGAGACTCACCGACAGTGAGCTCTGCTCCACTGCCCTCCACTGCCTCACCTGGTCACGAGGCCACAACGTTCCTCGCTCAGCCACCAGTTCTGCCTCCCAGATACTTACTGTCATTACAGGAATACAGAACTTCTTTTCACAGAGGAGTGCATTCTGTGGCAAGCAAAGGCTTGAGGACAAAGAACCAGGAAAACAACAACAAACCCGTCAGTAACAATCCCACTGATTTTTCCTGGGTAATATGCCTACTCCCCATAAATTGACCCACCACACACAAATCAGAAAGACTGGGCCGGCCCGGTGGCGCACTGGAGAGTGCGCCGCTTGGGAATGCGGCAACGCTCCCGCTGAGGGTTCGGATCCCATGTGGAGACCGGTTCCCGCTCACTGGCTGAGCGCAGTGCAGGCACAACACTGAGGGTTGCGATCCCGTTGCCGGTCCCCGGTACGGGCGCGACATCGAGGGTTGCGATCCCGTTACCGGTCAGTAAAAAAGACAAAAAGGTAAAAAAAAATATAAATAAATAAAAATAAAAAAAAAAGAAAGACTGGTCCATAGGGACCATGAAAGGCATCGCATCAAGTACTTCTGGCAGGTGTCACCTCCGCCCAGGTGGAAGATAGTGGCTGCTGCTAAGATCCGGTGACATTCTCTGTCACTATCCTATCCCATTTTTATTCCAAAGGAGGTGTTATCTTTGTATCAATGACAGCAATCCTAATTATGTCAGGGGGGAGAAAATCTACAAATGTATAGAACTCATGAACAAAAGAAAAGATCCCAGTCTTAGAAGCAGGACCAAGTGTGACCCCCATCTCTCTGAACAGACGGAGCTGCGTTGGTACGTAATTCTTCCTGCTGTCAGTAACTCTTGAAGAACACTGATCTTAAAATACCAACCTATGAGAAAAGAGTAACTATTTAATGTCATCTTTTTTCATAGTTAACCAATTTCACACTCTACCACCATTTTTATAGTTAAATTTAAAACATATTAGAGGATGCCAAAGATCCTTAGTAATATCCAATCTTTTTAGAATTGCACGCCATGGATATAACTGTCACACTTACAAGGCGTGTATTATCATAAAGCATTTGCTCTATTTTACATTACATAAAATAAGCACCATTTCTACGATGCAAACTCACCCTTTCAGAGGATTCTCCCAGCTAAGTCTTTAAAAAATCTTTTGTTATTGTTGTTAACTTGGAGGTCAGACCAAACTAGTGTGTTTACTTTCTCTGCAGTTTCCATGCACTGAATAGTATTCAATTTTATCCATACTGCACACTGAAACACCTAATTTAGGTTTAACTATATAAAACTATGATATTTTTATAATTTATTTTTTTTAGCCTCACTAAGTCTAAGAGAATAATTATCCCTGTGAATGAAAATACAGTACCTTCTTAATCTAAGGAATACCATTGACTGCTCCATTTGTTATTTTCTAGTTTTAAAAGGTTCCAATTTAAACATCTCCTTTAAAGCCAAGCCACCAAGTCTACTTGTGATAACTTATGCTGAAGAGACTTTATGTAAAAGGTCATTGTTAACAGGAAAAAGGTAAAAATTCTCCTCCTGATGCTGGTTTTGCTTCGGGTTTATACATACAGGGATGTAAAGCTAGTATTCTAAGATTCTGGACTTTCTCTGGTTGAAGTGGATTTTAATAACTGACAATCACCTGCACAATTAATGAGAGAGTAGAGCTGTGTTGAATGACCACAAACAGGCTCAACGACCCATCTCTACTGCTGGAAAAAACAATTCGACGTGTGTGTCCCAGGAGTACTGATGCAACGGCATTCCTGTGGCCGCACACATACAGGACTGAGGACAAAACACTTTTTTTATGGGTGAGGAAACTGCATATTGGCTATCCATCAATTCCCAATCCACACTATGTCTCAACTTCAACCCTAGGCACCTGTAGACTAATGAACAATGCACAGAAAATATTAACTGATATTATATGCATGCATATTTAATATCAAAAGAAATGTGTTTTTACATTTAAATATTAACTAATTCCTACCATCCTATATTAGTTTATACTTTGCTAATAACTCTCGTGCAAATAATGAAGGATTCTACTCAAAATAGCAATGCAAAAATTAAACTTATTTGATACATTTAAACCAATCATGAAACAATAAAATCTCTAAGAGCTATTTAGCCATGCCACATTTTCACAAAATATAAAATGTAGAGTTAGCTAGACTGGGCAGGCCCAAGATGACATTTAGAAAGGAAAAACCAGCATAAGCTTCCCTTGGGACATAATTCTATAATAAGAATAAATTTCTTAAAGACAATCGATATTTCATAATGTAAATTCAGGTCTGAAAAACAGAATTACGTAACTCTATTCCAGGCAAATGAAAATTTAATGGTTATTACAAGTAGACTCATCACATAGGGAGATCAGAAGAGCTGACAAAGTGGCCTGAGAGGCCAAGAGAGCTCAAGAGAAAGAGTCAATGGGCTGAAGAGACAGACACTTTGTCAACAGTGAGACAAAAATCATCTTAAATTAACAGAGCGGGGAAGAGAGGCAGGGAGGAGGTGTGCAAAGAAAGAGGGGCTGGAAGATGGAGGTATCTCCAGCCCCTCTTTAAGGTGTCCAAATGTTATCATGTATGTAGAAAACTATTAAAAAGGGAAATCTTTTAATTGGCCTTTACGATTTCACACATACACTAAGTGCTGCAATTCCTAACTATGGCCTATGGTCTACAGCACACTAAGTTAGCAGGTTAGGAGGACAACAGAGGGAAATCTTTTAATTGGCCTTTACGATTTCACACATACACTAAGTGCTGCAATTCCTAACCATGGCCTATGGTCTACAGCACACTAAGTTAGCAGGTTAGGAGGACAACAGTGGTGATGACGACGATACCCGCAAGCACCTTATTGGGGCACTTCTGCAAAACGCTTTTCATATTTTCTAGAATGTGACTGCCCCAGTAACCCTGGGAGGAAGCTGTTACTATTATCTCACTTTCAGACAGACAGAGGCAAGAGCTCAGTCAACGACTGCTGGATGAAGGAGTGGACTTCACTCAGGAAAGCTGAAGCGATTTGCCCAGAGGCACAGAGCCACTGAGGAAGAAGCCTAGACTGCAGCCAAGTCCCTTCTCACACTGCACTAACCCAGGAACAGCTACCCGGACAACACCCCAAAAATCAGCAGGCACAAAAAGCATGAGAAAGTTTAAGCAAAGCAAAGCGGTTTCCTTCACCTGAAAGATTCCTGAGCCACCAGTACTCTTATGTGCATCACGGTCTCTAAGCCTGAGAGAGCACAGAACCTTTTCTACTTCTAGAGCATCTCAAAGGACTAAATGTTCCATGGAACAGACATAGGAAAACGATGCTCAGGCGACCAGCCCACGGCAACATCCCACAGCCTGCATCTCTCGAACGGTGAGGCCAGCAGTAAATAGCAGATCGCAGTGACTGGAACAAGGAGCTCAACACTACCTGGACAAAGAGGTAGATCAAGAGGCAGCACAAAGCTTTAAATGGGTTCTCCACGGCTTGCAGTTCTTCTTTGGAGGAGGAAAGGTTGAAGCAGGCTAGGAGTGTGTCCAAACGCCGGGCTTGTATTCCTGGCTCTTGGCTCAGCCACAGTATTTTCAAACTGGGTGTCCCCCCTAGTGAAAAAAACAACAGTCCATTTACCATTATTCTTTGCAGCAGCAAGTCATAATATGCTTCTTGTAGAACACAGTTAAAGGAAGCAAATCTCTTCCCTTCCTGATAAACTTGGGACTTTAAAGCACAAAGGAGCTAGAAAGTAAATATAAACAGAGCCTGCTAGTTTAAAAACAAAACAAAGTAAAACCTAACTGACAGGCATATGTGTATTTCATTGAAAGCATTCTTCGTCTTTATTTTAATGGCTAAGTTTTGAGGGAAACTAGGGGCTTTTTTGTTTCACCCAGGCTGTACCCTCTATAGTTGAGAATGCTTTTCAGAACATGTTTCAAATGTACTGAGATAGATGCAGCCACGATGGAGCACTGGTTGGAACATCATCAATCTACCCCTTTTAGTTTGCTCTCTTTTGCTCCCCTCAACCAATGGTTTTGGAACGTTCATGTGCAAAACAGTCAGCTGTAGAGACTGTAAAAATGCACTTTGCTGGAATCTATGTGAAGAAATTCTGATTTAACAGGTATGGGTGTCTGTAAATCTTCATCTTAACAACCGAGAAGGTTTGGAAGCAGGTCGTCTGTAGACCCTGTGCTTTGGAAAGCACTTCCCTAAACCTATTAAACAAACAGAAATTCCCCAAATCTAACTTTGAGTGTTTCATTTCCATATTTCATGTATACAGTTAAATGGTTAAAATCAAAAGAAAAAGCCCTAAGTCGTTTACTTAAATCAAAAGAAACTGTGGTGTGTCTGAAGGAAGACACACACAGCTGCAGACACAGGGGCAGCTCTGTCTCTACCTCTGAACAGAGAGGTGCCAGTACTACGATCGGGCACACTGCAATCGGTAACACATCTCCTGCTATCACCAGCAGCTGTGACTTTCTTTTAGGGCCACGTGGCTATACTCATATAGTGTTTGCCAAAAGTCTAAGGATGGCTAGAATCTAAGTGTTGCACACATTTATTACTAAGGAAACAAAACTCACTGCCACATGGTTTCAGAATTAAACGACTCAAAAAAGGAAATTCTTCTCTTTCTTTTCTTACATGTCCATGATGCCATTTACTATACTCAGTGGTGTATTTCCATCACCAGAATGAAGCAAGCAGGCAAAAGTCACCTACATTTCTGAAATGGCAGAAGTGTTCCCTCTACCAGAAAAGCTTGTTCACTATTTATTTTGGAGAGGGGAAAAAAAAAAATCTTTTTTTCTCTTTAGAGAAAGAAAATGCTAAAGATAATTGCAAAAAAAAAATCGACAGCACTAGTACTTAAGATAGAGATATTATTTTGAGATAATCACTGTGTCAGCGACTACATCTTAGAAACACACTTTCGGGAAAATAATCATTGAAGGCAGGGCCTACAGCTTGCGGGCCAAATCCAACTTGCTGCCTATTGTCATATAGCCTGTGAACTAAGAACAGTTTTCATATTTTTATTTACTTTATTTATTTATTTTTTAAAAAGATGACCGGTAAGGGGATCTTAACCCTTGACTTGGTGTTATCAGCACCGCACTCTCCCAAGTGAGCCACAGGCCAGCCCAAAATGGCTGAAAAAAATTAATAATATGAGAAAATGATATGAAATTCCAGTTTCAATGTCCACCAACAAGGTGCTGTTGGAACACTGCCACGCTCACTGGTGCGCCCACCGTCTGTGGCTCCAACCCTACTCTGATGACGTGATTGAGACCACATGGAAGGCAAGACCTAAAGACTCACCATCAGACCTTTCACAGAAAAAGCTTGCCAACCTCTGATCTAAGTAAATAATGCATCTTCCATTACTATAGTTATTCAAATATACTAAAGTATTTGAAAAACATTTTTTTCTGAACACAAAAGTCAAACATTGTAAAAATTTTTAAAAAATAGAAAAGCATAGAGAAGAAAATAAAAATAACCAACAATCTCACCACCCAGGTATAACCATATTTGGAATATAGCTTCTAGTCCTTTTTCTCAATGCATATAAAACATTATGAACATAGCTGAGAGAGTCCAGTGGTGGACAGTGTAAGATTTTGCCTTGCCTTTCATTTGCTTATACATATAATTTTAATACAAAAAAAAAAAAAAAGAGGTTCATGAGGTATATCTAGACATAAGTATAGTGTGAGTAACAAACTAAGGATGGCTGTTCCTGAACGAACAGTTAGGGACTGCTTACTCATGGCCCTGTGACTCACTCCCTGCAGGAACAAAACTCCAGGGAAGAGATTTATAAGTGTCTGTCTAAAAAAAGACTGGAGGGAAAGAAACACAAAACTATTCAATTGTTTACCAGCTTTTTTTTTTTTTAACCTACATTGTCACAGAAGTTTCTGTGAAGGCTGAGAACTGAAAAAGCCATTCACCCGTTCATATGCACTGATGCCTACAGTCCTAGGTGCTCTGCCCGGTCCCAGTGGCCCCACACGAAAGATGAACAGTGCTGCCTGGGGAGAGCTTGCAGGAGAAAGCATGCAAACAAACTGTAATACCACAGTGCAAAGGTTTCATTAGGAATACTGAAGGTCAAAGAGAACAACAGACTGGGGCAAGGACCTCAAGGGGGTTTTCATAGAAGAGATGGGCAGGAACGTCTGGGCTGGGCTTTGCTGGATGAAGGACATTTCCTCTGGGATTGAAAGGAGGCAGGAATGGGTATGTGATAAAAACCCTTCCTACTGTCCTCCTTCCTACCCATCTGTCCAAACATTCAATTCATCACCCACTTAACGTCTACTTTTGAGTAACTAGCACATGCCAGACATCATGGTAGGAACTGGAGTCAGAAGTAGGAATGAAAAAGACTCAGCGTCTGCCCTCAGGGAGTTTGCAATCTAGTGGAACACACAGGAACTAACCAAATAACAACAACAATACAGAACTACAAAGTGTACTACAGAAGAAAAGCACAGAGGACTCTAACTAGGGGGCGGGGGAAGAGCATGCAAGAGAGATTTGAGCTGAGATTTGAAGAAAGAGCAAGAATTAATTAGGATGAAACAGGAAAGGGGCAAGTTTAGGGAAGGGAAACCTCAGCAGCACAGGTCTTTATCCTAAGAACGACAGGAAGACACTGAAGGCCAACCTGAAAGAATGTGGTCTGTGCTTTGGAAGAGGGCTCGGGCTACATAGGAGTTTGACTGGAGGAACATGCAAAGGGAAACGGAAAGAAGGCAGAGAGGCGAGGGATGGGAAGAGGCAGACGGGTCTAAGAGGGATCTAAGAGACGATCAGGTGAAAGATACACAGAGGGAGAGGAAGACCCCAGATTTACGGCTTCTGGACTAGACAGGTGTGGTGGCGCTTACTGCGATAGAAAACAACGGGTTTCCACAGTGAGGCGCCAGCAGAGAAGCTGGAAGTGCAAGCATCAGTGCGTATGAATGGACTGAATGAACCATTTCTTTACGGAATTGATGAGTTTTACTTTTCCTTCCCCAGTATCTTTTATTAGACAGTCAACCTCAGTATCATCTGGAAATGCAAATTCTTGGGTCCCATCCCAGATGTTAGAAATTCTAGGGGTGGGGCCTAGTGATGTTTTAAACATGCCTGCCAGGTGATTCTGATGCAGACAAAGTTTGAATACCACTCGACATCCTTCAACAAAAAGGCTAAGAAACCGTTTACACGGACAAAAAAGAAAAACATACCAATAACAAAGGAATTGGTTCTTGAGGAGGTCTAATGATACAATAGATTATAGAAAACTACCATAATGAAAAACATGCCCTCATAAATCTCTTTAATATCAGAGAATTTTAATCCTAAATTCAATCAGTAACTTACTTAGTCAAGAAATATTCACTAAATGCCTATGTGTATATTAAATTAGGAGACAAGACATATCCATAGCTTTCTCCAAAACTTGCAGGTCTTTGTCTTTAATAGAAGGCAGCATATTCCAAGGTTACGTTCTGTCTTTTGATGCTACAAGCAGAACATCCCTTGGACATGTGGAGGTCCTTTGATGACTCTATAAAAAGGCCTTAATTATAACATTGCTTCTTTTCCAAAATGCAGTAAAATGTCAGGTCCTCCTGTCCAGGCAGAAATTTACTTCTCAGCTGACAGATTTCCAGTCATCATCTTAACTAGGGGAGGGCTTGAATTTTTTTGAAGGACCACTGAGTTTAGTTCTCTTCTAGTGGTAAGCTCACTCTAAGAAAAATGGTTAACTCTGGTGTGATAACCTACAATGGCTGAGACTACAAAATGCAAAGGAAATTTTAAGTAAGTAATTTCTGTTTACAAGGAACATATCTTAATTACAACTGGAAAGCAGATCAGCTCAGAGGAGAGCAGCTCAAACCAGCTGGTGTGGAAAAGCACACACACACACACACACACACACACACACACACACACACACACACACACACACACTATCTAGGTCGTGGGAGAAGACATGCTGCCAACAAAAATCAAAGGTGGCCCCTGCACTTTGCCCAGTGTTCCATGTGCAGCTGAAATGTTTCCAGCAGTAATCTAGAGACCTAAACAAGCAATCTGGACTCCAGGTCAGCCACTAGCACATCTAAAACACATCAGCCTCAGAAATCTAATTACATAACTTGGTAAAAGTTTTTGTATGAACAGATGGATAGGACAGCCTTGGAGCTGTTCAGGAGGGACTAAGCCCCAGCGGACCCAGCAGGAGGATAGGCAAAGGAGGTCATTTCTATGACTGACAACTCTGAAGACCATCTTGAAGGATGTCTGGGAGGACTTCACCCCAGGGTGAAGGGGTGAAACAACCCCTTTTGTGTTTTTACAGGTCTAAGCACAGGTGAATGAATAAAAGACATGCTAGATGCTAACCCATGACACTTTTATGTGCTTTCCACATGGAAAAAAAGTATTTTAATAGCTGGGTTTTTTAATTATCTCAAGGTTATTTTCTTTGCATATCGCTAGGGCAAAAACAAAAACAAAAACAAAAAGTCTGGCTTTTGTCCACTCTCAGGATGTGAGAGGTAAAACTCCTAGAATTAACCTGCATATATCATATTTCTCAAGTTCACTTGTAAAGTTTTAATTCACAAGTTCAATTTAAATGAATATTTATTTAGCATTCTCTGTTGGTAGAGCATTCCTGGCCAAAAGAAAACAAAATAAAAAACCCTGAGTACTCACATGCAAAGTGAACCTTTATTCTAACCAGATGAACTTCAATAGCTTATTTATTTATTTAGCATTCTCTGTTGGTAGAGCATTCCTGGCCAAAAGAAAACAAAATAAAAAACCTTGAGTACTCACATGCAAAGTGAACCTTTATTCTAACCAGATGAACTTCAATAGCTTATTTATAATAAGCAAAAAAATTTATTCAGATACAAACAGAGTAGAATACATTAAGAGCTCAATATATAAAACTCCACAATTTTGTGGATAAGTGGTCTAATGTTGTGCTTGCAAAATGACAATGCGTCTATCTAATGCATTCTAGACAGAGTGAATGTGGCTATGAAATGTATTCAAATCAAAATCCAACTCTCATTTTGTGACTCTACTGTGCATTGGAAATACGCTTACTTGACAAAGCTTCATACTATTTTTATAAACAGGAGAAAAACTGCTATTGAGATTTTAACACACTTATCTTGGTCTGTGATGGCCAGAGTAGGTAGTTCAGAGACTGGTGGGTACGTGAGCAGCGCCTTACCGAGTGCATGCACACGCACATACATAACAGCCTTCTTTTACCACTCACAGAAATCTCCAAGATCTGTCAAGACTTTCTTGACCCATATGCACTGAATGTCGAGATGAAAACCCTCAACGGTATATGTAGGAGTAGCCAAAACAAAAAAACTTCACTACAATCTTTAACAGCAAATGACAGAATAAATCAACTATAGCCCTCCCTTTTCTTTTCCATGAAATGTATGACTTCACCTCATTTCATTTTGTAAAACAGTCTTTTAAGATATTCTGTAAGCTCTGGTAAATGAAAAGATCTCATGTAGCTAAGAAATACTACGCTTAATGATTACTGAGTGACACTTAAGTCATTCAAGACAAACAAATTACCAATCAGATGTGTGCAATTAACTTTCCTAGGTTTCTAAAATAAGGATATGCTTATAATGACTAACAAATGACACTGAGAACAGAAAATATCACCTGTACTTTGTCTAAAGAAGAACTTCCAGTTCTGGTGATAGAAAAGGCTATTTCAAATTCTTGCTTTTTGTCTGGTCTGCACCCACAGAATGCAGAATGTTAGAGACATGGAGACACAAGAGAGCAGGGATGGTGTACTGAGAACGAGAGACACACGCACAACCCATGGCCACCTTATGAGCCACGACAGGGAAAGGAAGCTAAGCTGTATCCTCATTGTGTTATCAGAAACACCATCTTTCAGGATATGAAGAGTACTTTAAAAAATTTATGGGAAAATAGAATTAAAAGATAACACAAATCTTTCCGTGAAGTTTTTGAAGTGCCCTCATATTGTAAAATAAAAGAAATGTAGCATATGCACCCTATACATGTACACACATGCACAGACATAAAGACAGGGAACACAGACAGGAATCAGACCAGTGTCTTGGTCCATGTGAGCTGCTATAACAAAATACCATAAACTGGGTGTGAGGAAAACGGAGTCAGTATAGTCAGGCCCCCTCGCCTCATATCCGGCTGGGTATGTTCAGCATATCCATTATAAGCAAGTTATATAAGAGTGGTGTGACTGTACATGCACGCCCATGTACTCCTTGGCTTGTTGCCAGCATTGTGTACTTTCAGTATGAAAGGCAATGGCTCTGAACTGCTGGCCGGCAGAGCTCATATCAGAATAAAGCATGTCTATCCTGTTATCAGCCGCCAGAATCTTTTTTCAGCTACCTGACTCATGACCTGCACAGGACAGGGCAGAGGGGTCTATGATCCAGTCCAACACTGGGTAACATAACAACAGAAATCTATTTCTCAAGGTTCTGGAGGCTGGGAGTCCAGATCAAGGTGCCAGCATGGTTTGGTGAAGGCCACCTCCTGGTCACGGATGGCACCTTTTCACTGTGTCCTCACATGGTGGAAAAGGCAAGGCAGCACTCTGGGGCTTCTTTTATAAGGGCACTAAATCCCATCTAGTCACCTAATCACCTGCCAAAGGCCCTTCCTCCTAATACCAACACAATCGTAATTAGGTTTTCAACATATAAATTTGGGGGTACACAAATATTCAGACCATAGCAACCAGTAATGAGATTTCTTTTTCTGCTCCCTGGCTGGTCAATTTTAATTCTTTCCCCTTCCTAACTTTTAAGTAATCTCTATACTTTTTTCCTGCAACCCTTCTGCCTCCCTTCCACTTTGCTGAAAAATATCTGTGATTTCTTTTTTGTTTTTACCATTGAAGAAAGCAAGTATTAAATCACATGTGCTCAGAGAAAAAAGTCTTTAAAAGAGAAAGGACACTGGCAACTATATCAAGAGACTCACTGAAAAATACAGCATTTATGAGATCAACGTAATTAAAATGAACTTAGAAGAACAAGAAAAATCAGATATGGGATCCGATGGTAACTCTAATGGCAACACTGTTGCTTGTCTTAGTTGGAAATAACTGCCTCTAAGGTGGCAACAAGAACATTTCAAAGGTTTTCCTGAAAGGTGGAAAGAGGGTCAATCGGCAGGATCCTACTCTTTTCAATTATACATTGTGTAAGTGAGAATGCCTGAGACAGGAAATTGGATTGTCTGCATTCCACTTTAGTATAAAATTCTTTGGGTTTTTCCTCATGGATACTGAAAAGCATTTAAATGTTTAAATCTTGTCTATTTATCATAAATAACAAAGAGAATCATTTGTCTAAATCAGCTGCCATGCAAGCTCAAAACCATATTTCTAGTTTACATGAATGTGTCAGAGACATGGCCCTCCGTGTTCGGCGCTGGCTTCCAGAACTCCTTCCAGAAGCAGAAACCTGACTCATGTCTCTGAAGCTACACGCAAAGACTTTGCAACTCAGCCAAGGAGAATGCTCCATAAGCCCCAGAAGGAGTCTCTGATACCAATATGACTTCTAGAATTTAGTAAACATTATAAAGAGTGGGCTTTAAAATCAACTCATGATATGATGATGAACAGCCAAATATTCTCTTTAATTCAAACAATGAAGACAACTGTAATCCATAAGCCCCAGAAGGAGTCTCTGATACCAATATGACTTCTAGAATTTAGTAAACATTATACAGAGTGGGCTTTAAAATCAACTCATGATATGATGATGAACAGCCAAATATTCTCTTTAATTCAAACAATGAAGACAACTGTAATAATCATTTTCCATATTATTTTTAGAAAGATACTATAAGATGAAAATTACATACATAACAAAACGTTTTTGGAAAATATTTTTGGCTAAAACAAGAGGATGTCTCTCTCCACAAAGCCCATTCCAGAGTGACAGAAGCATCATCTGCTCCATGATAATACTGGGGGACCTGAACACACCTCTCAGCATCGGACAGATCATCTAGGCAGCAAATCAACAGAGTAACCACTACTCTTTCAGAGGGAGAGGAGAAATCTAGGGTAACTGGGGGGTGGGGATGGGGTGGAAAGGGGGACAGGGAGAGATTGGACAAGGGGCATAAAGAATAATTGTGATTTGTAACAATATATGTGCTAGTAATATTGATTTGATCAACATACGTCAACACTGAACCCCCAAAATATGTATAATCAATCATGATTTAAAAAATTTTTTTTTAATTAAAAAAATAAAAATAAGTAAAAAATACTTCTCACTATAAAAACAAATGTCAATGTATTTTACTTTGTTTTTGTGATATTTACTTTTTTAGATTGGAGTCTATCACTGATTAACAGAATAAGGGAACATTCCCTATAATAGCTTTTCTGAGCTTCTCTCCCCACACAATTCCACTTATTAAAAAAACAAAAAACAAAACCATTTGCAGTGCTCAGAGCCATATGTGGTAAATTGCAGGCTTGTGTGATGACAGATAATAGTGACAGCAGAGCATTCAACGCATATAAAACATCAAAGTTTTAGAAAAACACTTGTTCTCTGAAACAATGACACGGGCCACTACAAATAAACCCAGCCTCGAACGCCCCCTTGCAGTGGCAAACACCTGACCTTCCTCAGATGCTGACTGTGTGTACGGAGAACGGCTGGCTTCTCTTCAGGTTTCCCTCAGCTAATTTTTACGTGAACTTTGTCTTTCTGTCCCTCGTGTTTTAAGATCCCGCCCATGAAAATAAAACGTTTTTCCAGTTAAAATAACACTCTTCTACCTCTTCTCTCCCACTCCAGAACTCATCAAAGTAACTTTCAGTGGTGGGGAGAAGAAAAGGGACGACTGAAACCGAATATCAAGAACCCAATCTTGTCAAACGCTGAGGACGTCTGCTGAGTGCAAAACGTTTTTCCAGTTAAAATAACACTCTTCTACCTCTTCTCTCCCACTCCAGAACTCATCAAAGTAACTTTCAGTGGTGGGGAGAAGAAAAGAGACGACTGAAACCGAATATCAAGAACCCAATCTTGTCAAACGCTGAGGACGTCTGCTGAGTGACTGCTGGGGGTTGGGCCCTGGGGCCGCTGCAGCAGTGGACTCTGACCACGGCCAGCCGATGCTTCTTTCCTCTCCCACTGCTGTGGACCCTGAGCAGGGTGGAGGGAGAAGAGAGGCAGAGCCATGCGGCAGACTGGTCCAAGGTAAATCTGCTATGGCGCCCTTTCTTACGTTGTTTTAGTATGTTATTAGATAGGTACATTCATCGTGGGCCAAGGGTTGAGATGAAAATTACTGTACATGCAGTTCTGGAAAAAGATGCTTCCACAACTGATCCATTTTTGGACTTACACAATGAATATATTTTTGATTTATTTAAATCAAGGCTGTCTGTACCTGGAACAGTCATCTGCAGGGGCCTGACGAGGTCCGGGTGCCTCAGTGGGTTCCCAGGGTACACAAACCACTCCTTGACAGCCGGGCAGGTGCTGGTGCCATCTGCATAAAGATAGCTGGGTCAGTAGAAGCACAAGAACATGTGTTACCACGCTCAGTGTCGCAGTCTGCCCAGGTGGGCCAACTCAAAGTCCATGACCACAGTAAGTTCTCATAACCAAAGTGCCTGGGTGACCTCGGTCATCCAACAATTGGTTTCCTACCCTCCAATCTGAGGGTAATCCATTCATTCCAACAAAAACTATAACCTCTGGAACTGACCAAAATCTCAGAACAAAACAATTAAACAAACAAGCAGACAGCTTACCATCTTGATGGTTCCTGCGACGTCCTGCCTCCCTCCCTGCCACCCCACGCTGTTCAGAAAACATTTAGAGAAAACTGCTGGAACATGGGAGTCCTTTCTCGTCTTGAACTCACTAACGTAAGCAACTACCAAAACTATTACTGCATTAGACTATATGAAAAGCTGGTAGAAATAATCTAAAGCAAAGGCTCTTCTGCATGTTGGTAATAACTACCATAAAAAATTCAGTCTGATTCCAACTCTTACTTTACTCAGCAAGTTAGGGTGAGAGGAAGACTTTCTTACTCAACACTCCCAGCCCATCTTCTCTGCAGCACCCATTGCCCATTCCTGCGCCTGCCTTCCCGTCCTGGCCCCATGGGCCTCCAGACCATCCTCCGAGGACTCCATCCTCCACCAGCCCTTCTCTTGTCTCGCAAGCCTCTCTTCGGGCTCCTGCATGTTCAAACCCTCCTGGACTCCACAGCCCTCTGCAGCCACCACTCCGCTCTGACCGACAGGGCCAGCTCCCCGCCAGCAGCCTCACCCGCTCACTCACTCCTCGAGTCCACCCACACATTCCATGTTGTTTGTGTAATCCTCACAAGCACTCTGCAAGGAGGCAGTAGTAGCTACATCCCCATGCTACACAAAAGGAACAAAAGGCCCAGAGAGGTTAAATATCATCACATATCTAGTAAGCAGAAGACCCATGACTGAACCACCAGGTTTACTCTCCCCACAGGTGTCTAAGGTTCAACACACCTGAAGGTTAATTTACCATCTTCCTTCCCAATGCCTTTTCCCCACTGCATTCCCTATCTTAGTGATGGTAACTCCAGCTTCATGGCACCCAAACCACACCACTCTCGGCTGTGACCTCTCCTGCACTCCGCACACCCATGAAACCACAAGGCCTGTAAACAGACTCTGGCTGCAACCCACCCGCCCTTCCGCCACACTGGCATCACTGCCTGTCCTCAACCAGTGGCAACAGGCCCCAGTGCACTCCTGTCCATACTCCATCTCCATCCAAGCCGACCTCCACTGTAAATGGAGGCTTTTTGGGTTTTGCTTTTTTAAAATGAAATTTGACCAGGTTGCTTCTTAGTTAAGATCCCTCAATAGCTGCCCAAGACCCCCAGAAAAAAGTGAAGACCCCTGTCTGCCTCCTGTGTGCCTCTCCACCCTGCAGCTCTCACACCAAGCTGCTGCAGAATCACCAGAGGCTGTGTGAAAGCACAGATCCAGCCCACTCCCCAAGTTTCTGGCTCAGCAGGTTTCTGGAGTGGGCCCAGGCTCTGCATTTCGAAGCAGGTATCGGTGTGGGTGCTGGTGCTGCTGGTGTGGGCCCCACTGAGAACAATGGCTCTGGCTCACACGTCACGCTCCAGCCATGCTGACGAACTGCATGGTCTTCAAACTCACCATGCCTCTTCCTGCCTCCACTTCTCTCCTAACCGGCCCTCCCCGACCCCTTCTCCTGCAACCAGGCACGCTGCCACTGCCACAGGACCTGCCCGGGGTCCTGAGGCGTAGATCTGGGGACTGACCCCTCCTCTTGCAACCAGGCAAGAAACACGCCAAAAACACTACTTCCACAGCCACCACAATAGCCACGGCTACTGCAAAAGCAGCTAGACACCACAACTACCGAGCAGATGGCCTGCCAGCCCCTCGAGTGCATTGACACAAGGAGAGTCACCTGTGGAGACCGAAGAAAAGAGGATGTCTCTCTACATAAAGCCCATTCCAAAGTGATAGAAGAAGCATCTGCTCTATGATAATACTAGGGGACCTGAACACACCTCTCAGCATTGGACAGATCATCTAGGCAACACATCAACAGAGTAACCATGACTCTTTCAGAAGGAGAGAAGAAATCTAGGGTTATCAGAGGTGGGAGGGGGAGGGAGAGGGGAATGGGGGGAGATTGGACAAGGGGCATAAAGAATAAGTATGATTTGTGACAATACACATACTAGTAATATTTATTTGATCAACATACATCAACACTGAACCCCTAAAATATGTATAATCAATTATGATTCAATAAAAAAGAGAGGAAAAACAAAAAATACAAAAACCCCCACAAAAACAAAGGAAACACCCTCTTTCTAAGTAACCCTCCTGACTAGGTTTTCATTACATTGAAAAGTAGTCAGCCAAGTGGGTGGAGTCCTAAAGTGCTCTTTGAAGAAGGGTGCAGTCTCTCTGCCAAAAGACAACTCTTACGAGGCTTTAGGAACTCAAAACACTACCACTGTCTCCTTGAGAAACCACCAAAATATTCACAAAACCATACTGTATACCATCTGTGCAGAAGTGATCATCTTTCATCTGAAACTTCACAACACAGAAGTTTAGGGTTGGCTTCCCAAAGAGTTTTAATTCTAAATAACTTATAAAGAGAAAGTAAAGATAGTTTCATGGTCAGCACTGGCGTCCTTTATTAAAAAACACCAGGCAGATTTTCTACTATTTCCTTTCTTGTTAAGCCATAAGAAAGTCAGTTTTTGGATGAAAATTCCAAGAAAAACGTCATGCAGTTTAGTCAGTTACAAACCAGAAGGAAACAGCTGCCCATGTCGAACAGTTCAACAGGATCTATAAAACCATGATTCAGTACAAGAATCAGCAAGCAAAATACGGCAGAAGATCAATACAGACACCAAATTTCCTTGTTTCCATAATTTAGTCCACATAGGGTTAATGCCCATATTAATTACAAGGTATTTCTTAATCAGTGAAATAAGCTTTTACTTTTTAAAGTGATGACTTAAACCTGATGAAGTTTCACTGACCACACAATACGGTCACAGAGCAAACATGAACTACATTGCTTGAAATTCAGTACTGACAGCTATTTATTACACAAAGCCTCTAATATGAAAAACTCTTAATTTTCACATAACAGCCCCTCAACATGCCTTTGTTTCCGTCTACCAAAGAGGGTAAAATGCTAGCACACAGTCGCTAGAAATGTCAACATTCACAAAGAATAAGTTTTGTTCTCTGTACAACATCTTTATCCAAAACTAAATATTCAGATGGCAGTGCTTTTCATTTTTAATCCAGATCATCACTGTTACAAACAGTTACAAACAAGTCCCCAGTGCTCCTTTCTAAAACCAGAGGCAGATGCAAAACTTTACCTGAGATGATCTTAAAAAATAAACGTATTTTATTGGAAAATCCTACAGTTTAGCCCATTCTCTGGGGCACCACGTTATTTCAGAGGATTAATCTACATGCATTTTGAAACCAGTCAGAAACGTTTGCAATAATTTAGTTTGTCTGAATTATAATGAAATAATCCTTTATGTATCAAGAAAAAGAAGAGGAAGTTGGGTCTGGCAATTCCTAAAAGAAAGAGTGACTTGGTCACTGGAATTTTCAGTTTGCTAGGCTCTGAGTTCAGAAGAGCAAAGCAAACACTTGGGCGAAGGTCCTTGTTGGTTTTACTTTTTACTTCATGTGACAACATTTCATATGAAAGATGGAAAAATACCACCATCAAGCTTGTTCTTTTGCTACTCCCTCTCACGACACTGACTCTGCTCAAGTGGGCCAGAGTAGGGATGGGGTGTCATTGGGCAGGGAAGAGAATGACTAGCATCAATGTCCACTCCAACCTCCTCATTACTGGGATTTCCCAGTCCGATAACAATACTCCAGACTTTCTAAAAATTTATTTGTCCTTATGGTTCTGTAACATTTTAATACTGCTGGTTTAATCTATAATTGTGTGTGGCCTTAGTCTTTAAAAAACAGAAAAACTCCCCAAATATTCTTTTTTGTATACATATTTGAAAAGTAGGTATTTAGGATTTCAATGAGTTGATAGCCTTTAGGTGCTATGCAAGGGTGTTCAGCCCATTGAACAGGGATGGTTTTATTCAGAAGGCTGGGGACTTTCCCATCCCAATACCGCCAACCTTTCCCAAAGTGTCCATGGGATCCTTCCAAGTCTGCTGGGTAAAAATGAGGCAAGAATGACAAGGACAAAAGGTCATTAACTTTAGTTGTTAAAGGTTGCCAGTATGCAAGTGGCTTTTCTTTAGCACTACTAACTAGTGAGACGTAAAGGCAAAGAACAGAACAGATTCTACCTATTGCGTCTTGCTGAGTATCTTCTATTTCCTAAAATGTGTAAGGTTCCATAAAGTGATTTAAGCTAAGATTATCCTTAGGGAGACCTATTAGAATCTGAGGCGAGAACAGGCAAGGGCTGAGGACTGTGAGTGCCCTCAGGGTCCCCCCTCTTTGCCCACTATGCCATCTGGCATATCAAAACACCATATATTCAACTGCAGAAAAATATATATAGGAGCAGAACAAACCAACACTCCCTACAGAGGTACGCTCTGAGATAATCACATGAGTTGCAGTGTCCAGAGGATCGGCTATCCAAAATGTACCTGTAATTAGGAACTTTGAAGTATCAACATTATCACTTCAGTGCCTGTGACTTGAGACCTTTCGGTTCAACTGAGTGTCTAAAGCTGTGCAAGTTTCAGAGATTGGCTCTAGTGCCCAGAATCTACCTTGTGGTTTACAGGCACCACTGACGCTAGATATCACTTTGGCTGGACTCCCACCTGCTAGTCAGATGGACATGGAGATCGCCACTCATCTCATGGGACTTCAGAGACCATCAGAATCTACCTTGTGGTTTACAGGCACCACTGACGCTAGATATCACTTTGGCTGGATTCCCACCTGCTAGTCAGATGGACATGGAGATCGCCACTCA